TCCACAAAGACACAGCTGCCTTGGGACCCCTTTCCTTTCCTTTCTTGACTCCCCATCCCCACCAATATTAAACACTCCCTCAAGCTCTGGGCTTTCAAAATGTCTTTCTTATTGCTCAAGAAGAAAGAATTATATATATTTCACACCAACTTTGTGATATTTTTCTTCTGTGGTTATCTACATTTTATTTCAGAAAAATAATCATTACTACTATTTAATGATTCTGTAGTTAGAATAGGCCATGCTATGCTGTAGTAAGAAATATACCCTAACATTCAATAGTGAAACATAAAAAAAAAAGCTTAGTTTTCACCCACATCACCGTCCATTGCACGTTGGGAGGCTCTCCTTTGGCTCTACTCCAGAAGAAATCCAGGTACACGTGTTACTTTACACTTGGAATTGCCATCTCAAAGTCCTTTGTTTCCACAAGTTCAAGTGAGAAGACAGGTGGAAAAGGCACCCTTGCTCTTAAGGTTCTTAGACTTACAGTACTTAAACCAACACCTGTTGAAGATCTATTCATCTTCCATTGATGAGAATTAATCAAATGACCCGACCTGTAGAGAGGCCTCTGTCATTAGTAAGCACTAATTTTCTTGACCACGATGATTATTATTTTCCAAGCAATCACTATATTCTTTATTGGTTTTACATTTTAATATTCCACACACAAAAAAAGGAGTGTGGGTTCTGGGAGATGTACCACTTGGGTTTGAACTCTGGATCTGCCACCCACTAGCCGTGTGACCTTTTGCCAGTGAATACATCCTTCTCCCTGTCTCAGTCACCTCATGTTAAAATAAAAATATCTCTCGTGTGGGACCGTGAGCATCAAATGAATTAGTTAATATGTGTAAAAAGACTTAGGCCAGTGGCTGGCACACTGCTCAATGAGTGTAAGGCACTGGTCCACATTTTGTAGATAAAGAGCCTGAGGATCAGGAAGGTAACAGAGTCTGTGAAAAAACAAAGTCATGCTCGACAATGGACTTGGCTCATCGACCACAAACCTCTTCACCATTGCTCATATCTTTCATTGGAATAGAAAGGAGACACACTTATGAAGTGTATTTGACACTGTGCTAATCACTACTTATACTTTCTCAATGATTTCTTCTGAAAAAGAGAACGAAATCTCAGAGAAACAAATAATATGCTCTGGATTGCGTAGCTAGTGGGATTTGGACCTGTGTTTATACACCAACAAAAATCCCATGCTCATTCCACTGTAACATAATGTGTGCCATTCTTGAATTTTAAATAAAAAATGTCAGGTGGGAAATCTTGTCTTAGGGAAAACATTTTCTGAAACATCCTTCTAGCAGTCTCTTCACTGCAGTTCTTAAATGGACAGACTCTGCACCCGCCTGCCCCTCCACCCCGTATAGATCTGGAAAGTTCACATCAAAATGGAGAACGCACCCTCTTTTCCTCCAAATGTACAGACTATTCCCCACTCCCCAAACACCATCACAGATGGTCTTTTTATAAATAAACCATGGCAACCCAGAGTGAGGGTGGGCAGGCTGCCTCCAGGTCCTTTGGGATGTTCGGATAAATTATTTAAGGTCCTGACTCACAGCTCCCACAATATAATGTCATAATCCCTTTTCATGAGTCAAGTTTGCAGGAGTTTGTGTCTTAACCATAAGGATGAAAAAGGATGTTCTTCTACCAAGTATCCCTTAGACACCAGAAAGTAGCAAGAAAAAATAAGCCTAATATGGGCCTGGAAAACAACATGGAAACTGGATTGGAAGAAGTAGTAGGTCTTGATGGGATCAGCCACAAAGGGAGTTGCAAGCCCATTTTACTCAGATCCTGAGCAAATTCTTGCTTTCTGCACCTCTTGTATCAATTGTAATGTACTCCTGAAGATACCTGGCCATTGGCCCGGAGGCCTTCTAAGACATCTCCATTTTTAGAGTCCTCGAGGCTGAAAGGAGAATATAGCACCAATCACCATGACCTAATAATCTGGTACCTTGAGAATTTTCCCAGCCCAGCCCCAGCCAAATGATCTTATCTACAGAAGCTTAGTTATAAGAACTTTGGGAGTTATACTAGTTTTCTATTGCTGCATAACAAATTACCCCCAAACTCAGTGGCTTAAAACAACAGTATTTATTAAAACATTTATTATCTTAAAACATTATATCACATACTTCACGTAGGTCAAGAATTCAAGAGCAGCTCAGCTGGGTGGTTCTAGCTTGGGGTCTTTCATAAGGCTGCAGTCAAGATGGCTCACTCACATGGCTGGAAAGTCGATACTGGCTGTTGGCAGGAGCCCTCAGTTCTTTGCCATATGGACCTCTTCATAAATGCTATTTGAATGTCCTCACAACATGGCAGCTGACTCCCCTACAAACAACTGATCTAGAAAGAGAATGAGGGAAGAGTCTCATTCTCTATTCCCCACACCCCCAGTTTTATTGAGATACAATTGACAGATAACATTGTGTAAGTTTAAGGTATCAATGTGATGATCTGATATACATGTATATTGCAAAATGATTACTACGATGAGTTAACAGCCATCACACATAATTACCATTTTTTGGTGTGTGGTGAGGACTTTTAAGATCTATTCTCTTGGCACCTTCCAAGTACACAGAATCGCGTTGTTAACTACAGTCACCATGCTGTACATTAGATCCCCAGAACTTATTCATCAAAAACTGGAACTTTGTACCCTAATCGCCTTCACTCATTTCCCCCACCCTGCTACTCCCAGCAACCACCAGTCTACTCTCTGTTTCTACGAGTTTGCTTGTTTAAGATTCCACATGTAAGCGAGATCATACAGTATTTTATGACCTAGCCTCAGAAGTCACACACTGCCATTTCCACGCAATCTTATTATTTATACAAGTGAGCCCTATTCCATTTGGGAAAGAATTCAGGGCAAGAATCCAGGAGGCAGGGGGCATCAAAGCCATCCTGAAAACTGGCTACCACAAGTTATTTTCTTGAGCTTCTGTTTCCTCTTCTGTAAAAATGGAGATAATTATTTTGACTTCACAGCAATATATTCATTCACTCACTCAAAATTTTTTTATTAGATACCTATCCTTTAACAGTCACTGTGGTAGGTGCTGAGGATGCAATGAAGAGCAAATACCAGTTGTCGTAGTTGCATAGTTGTTGTCTTCATGGAACTGACTAGACAGACGATGATAAATATGCAAGTAAAAAGTAAGAACGCAAGTGTGTTATGAAATGAAGATAGTGAATTGGAGCTTGGGAGTTGGTATTCTAACTGGAACTATATTCTAGCTACTAATTCTTGGCCTAAATACCTCTCCCTATCCAATCACACATAATGACTGCCCACTGTACTTCCGAACTAGGAATGGATATAGAAAGAGAAACTGGTCATTCGAAAAACATTCATGACTCTCCATTTAAGACCTTTCACAGCCTGAAATTCCAACCTTTGTGTCACTCCTCCAATGCAAGCCCTTTGATCTGGCTCAGCTAGTCTCACTTTTCTGCAAACATATTCTGTGCATCTCCTTCTCTAAGCTTTGATCACATAAAGTCCCTGCCTCTTATCTATCTCCATGTCATACTCCTCATTCAAGCTCAGTCAGGTTCCAAATCCTAAAAATGTCTCAAAGAGAGGCCATTCCTTTTCTCCAGGAATATTTGCTACAGGTACAACTCATTTTATAGTAATATCATCAGACATGTTTATATTTTTTTGTTTGTACATAAATACAAATGGCTCTGTCTCATTCCTTGATATCGCAGAGGGCACCAAGGTACCTAAGACAGCACCCACCCTCTCTGTGGCGGCCATGCTTGATCTTTTTTTGTTCCTGTTTTCTGCAGTAGTTGAGCCATTTGGTGTTAGATCTAATCTAGTCTAAGACAAAATGCCCTAGAAGGAATGGTATCCCAAATGATTCACATCACGGAATGGAGTAAACCTAAAAGCTTCCAAAGAAGGCTGTCAAGTGGTTTCTCCTCTTTTAGTCCCTTTTCTGTGAACTGACTTTTTATATATTTTTGTTGCTAGCAAATTATTAAAATTCTACTTTGGTTTAACACATTAGCTTCAAAATCTTAATTACCATGAAATGTTGTGGGTTCTTCACTTTTTTCAAAACATAATGCTAAACCATTCAATGAAACATTGAAGACTGAAAAAATATTCTAAAAGTCATTAAGAAATTAGTAAATCATGACATGCAAGAAATAATTTAGCAAATCATGACATGCATTAGTAAATCGTAACTTTATTAAAGTTAACTTTTACCAGAAAAAGATGTACGAATCATGTGGATTAAAAAATTTAGTTGCATGTCCTATTTTTAAAAAATCCAGAAAACAAAACTTCATAAAAAATAAAATATCTACCAACCTGCTATAGGGGAGGAGAATAAAGGGACAGTAATAATCGAGAGTTCTGAAGTTGGTCCATAATGTTGGAATTTTTTAAGTGGGAATGTATTTGTGCCCTACTTATGTAATTAAAATAAAAAAAATAATGCATAAGAGGTTTTGTTTTGTTTTTTAACGTAGACTTAAAGGTGCTTGGAATCTCTCTGCAGACGATGGGGAGAAGCTGCCCTCTTGTGGAGCTTTTGGAATAGTCTTTAAATGGTTATTCATAAATCAAAGAACTTATTGTTTGGTTCACAGAATTTTGGAGTTGCAATTTCTGAGTTACAGATCAACTCCTCATGTCTGTCCTGTGAGAAAAAAAAGACAACAAAATTTCGGTGGGTTACCCAAAGTCGCCTAAAGTTTAAGATGAGTCAGAATTACAGATCTTCTGAATCTTAAGGGAATTCTTCCAATTATCCTTCTGCTTCCCTAAACCACGAGTCAGCAGGTGTTAAATACCAAACTGTGTTTAGAAAGACTTCAGATGCTATACAACCTACATGGTGCCTGGTAGCTAGAAGTCACTTAATAAGAATGTGTAATGCTGAGCATGCTGCTAGATCTTGCTGGGGGAAACAAAGGCGAAAAACACTTTCATTGTGTCGTGGATTGTAAAATTTATTATAATTGACACGTTTAATAACAGTATTACCCTCACGGCTACTTCTAGTCATTAAACACCAAATTGTAAGCAACAGCAGCCAGCTGCTGGAGAGGGGCACGGGCAGGGAGAGAGCACTTCCAACCACAGGCGCACGAGGAAGGCTGGAAACAGGTTAGAGCAGCAACACTGAAGAAAACAACAGTAGCCAAACGATTCTGGCACCACAGCCCCCACCCAACCACAAGGTGACACCAGAGGAGCCTGAAGTGGGTGGTGCGCCTATAATCGTAGCAACAAACCCGACGCAGTTAAACTCCTGACCAGGCTCTACTAACAGACCCCTCTAACCCGCTAGCGGGAGGAGCGGCACGGCCACTTCCAGGCGTGAACATCAGCCACTTGTTACTCCTGTTGTGTATCAACGGAGATGGCACTGAATCAAAAACTATGAGGCAAAAACAAGGAAAAAGAAAACAGTGCCAAAGACATAAGATACAGAACCAAATTCAGATGTTGGGAATAGTAGAAAAGGAATTTAAAATAGTCATGGTTAATATGTTCTAGTGGAAGAGGCGGATAATATGCGAGAGCAGATGGGGGATGTCAGTAGAGGAATAAAAACTATGAGTAAAATAGAAATACTAGAAATGAAAACAAACAAACAATAACAGAGAGGAAGAGCCAATGACTGGAAAATTTGAAAATGGGCTAACAGAAATTACCCGAACTGAAAAACGGAATGGAAAGTGAACAGCACTCAGAGCTGTGGAGGGATGTGAGCAGCCCAACACAGTGCAACTGGAATCCCCAAAGGAGAAGAGAGACAACTGGGAGCTACGTAAGAAAATGGGCCCGGGCATCACCCTCCCCAGTATCTTCACGTTACCCCTTCTTTTCCACAGCTGTGCTTCATGTCCTTTAAGATCAGAGGCTGTCTGGTGCCAGCTGCCCACAGAGTAAACTTCAAGGCTTTGGGAAGTGAGGATACTTGATTTTGAGCATGAGGTACAGGATTTGTGGTGTCTAACTGCTGCATTTCATCTACCCTAAGGTACACATTGTCACATTTTGAAAAAAAATGTGTCTTAAAGTCGATAGTGTCAATATAATGGATTTTTTTCTTTCGATGGTACATAAAATGGTGCTTCTCACAATCAATTACATCTTCAATTTGATAAAATATTATAAAAAAATTATTGTAAAACAGAAAATAGAAAAAAAAACACACAAAACAGCTAAATGGCTTAAGTTATTATAAGGCTAATAGCTTACCTCATGACATGGGTAGCTTAATAAGCTATGTTAAGTAAGACAAACCCTGTCATAACATACCCAGGCCACCAAAAAAGCCTTTGCCAGCCACTCCCAGAATACCCTGAAGGACATGTGCTTTGTCCTAATCAGTGCTCTCCCCCTCCCCTAGAGTAACCACTATCCTAAATTTTAGTAATCACTTTTTTGTATATCTCTATTTTCACCAAGCATGCGTTCCTACATGATCCAGTTTAGTTTTGTCATTTTTTAATATGGACTTTCCCTCCGTCCCTGTCCTTACAATCTACCTGTTGAAAATCCTAGGGCATTTAGCGTGTAACTTAGTCTGGACTGAGCAGAGCACAGCCTGGTGCTACAGGCTCACAAGTTCCTGTCCTGTCTCCTGCACTTTGCCAGCAGATGCCAAGGATCACACGCAGCTCGTCTACTGGCGAGACGGTAGAGGGCGCTGGCTTCCTTCCTCAAGGCATAGCATGTCTGGGTGTCTGTCGACTGTTGTGATATTAGCAGCAGCTGATGCTCAAAGTCTAAATCCATTAATCCACTGGAGTTGTAAAATGGTGAGATTCTCTCATTTCTTTTTCATTATTAGAACACTAAAAAGATCTTTTTCTTCTTCATCTGCTGTTTGGTTACCCAGTGGTACGGTTCAGAGGAAAGACAGGAAGATGCTTGATATTTTGCCTTTATTTTCTGGATGATGCTTGATATTTCGCCTTTATTTTCTGGATGAGTTGGTACTCTATCACCCTGAAGGCGGCCGATTATCTATAATACTTTTATGATGGGTTTCCTTAAATTGCAATTATCCTTTTTCAAGATCGAATTTTCCCGTGTTTGCAGAGGGAGGCTCTTCAAGTAGGCCCCTAAATCACTTTGAAATCATATACCAGCCTATACTAGTGACAGGTACTGTTTTAAAAGATATTGCAGGCTTATCTTTTACACTTCCTGCCAGGCTGTTTTTCCAAGAAGCTCTAGTTTCTTTTAGTAAAAAAATGGTGTTTTAAGACTGTAAGCTGAGTAGTAGGAATGCTCCTTAGTATTAGTCACTTTTTTTCTAGGTCTCTTCTGTGCATATATACATGTAGTGCGCACATGTACACATATACAGTGCACGCACATTCACATATATTTTATATATTCTTAAGTTTCTATTAGCATTTCCAATTCAAATTCATAATTACAGGAACTTGTAATTAACCTCTTCTGTATACTGTATCTCCTTTTTCCCGCACCAAGAATCCTGGTTCTCAAACTGGGGATGTTAAAATATTCTATATTCATTTATTCTAATCCACCTTATACACACAAGTCCTAAAATAACAAAACTATCAGACTACCACCAGCTAACAGAAAGTTCCCGATACGCTTTTCTGTTGTACTACCTGTCACATGGACATATAGGCAGTGCATACCATACTCTTTCTCTCTTAACTCTAATTTTTAATTGTAGAAGCGACTATAAGTTTAATGCCTACCATCAGTCTATTTCTCTGGCTATTTTGTCTTGCTGTTGGCTGTCTTGCTTGGATCAATAATCTTAGGTATGAGAGTACACTTTAGAGATAATCTTAAATCTTAAATTAGTAAAGTTTTCCGAAATTATAGTTGTCTTTTTCCTCAAACTCCGATTATCTGTATATTGGACATTCCATTCTGATCTTCAATATCTGTCACTTCCTAATCTTTGTCTTTTTTGTCCCATTTTTTGATTTTTACCTATTTAGTTCAGTCTTCATTTCTGAAATACTTATTTCTAATGCTTTCTTGAGTTTACCTTATTTCTGAGGTTTTCCAATTCTACATTTCCTTTACCTGTATCATTTTAACAACTTTTAGCACATTTTCAAACAAACTAGTTTTGACCGAACAGAAATTTGGAAATTTCTGGTAGATTTTCGTGATCTGTAAAGATGTTATTCTGCTTTTTTTTTCTTATAGTAACTATGTAAGAGATTGACCTAATTTTTTTCTGTAGTTTCCTTTGAAGTAAAATTAATTTTCTTAAAACTCTGAGAAGGAAGCATGGCCTATGGGAGATTCTCGAACTTAAGTTTCTTAAGTGTTCATAAACGGTATTGTGCTGAACTTCCTCGGCAGCGTTCTTTCTTCCCCTTCTGTCTTAACCTCTCTTCCTTCGTCTCTACTGTCTCTCTGGAGCTTAATTTTGGTTAAACTCCCAGCAGTTTCTCTTCTGTGGGGGACTCTTTCCTAGAAGCAAGCCTTGGTAAATCGGTTTCAATAGTTCAAACGGACTCGACCGCTTCAGCCCTCCAGACGTTCCTGCAGGCTCTCGCACTCACGCACCAGCAGAGCGGGCAGAGCCTGTTTCGAACGCCGTTTCTGACGTGGCCTGCTGTGTGCCTCGATGGCTATTCTTGAGTTCCCTTCTCGCGTCCACTAGATGTCCTGTTCCTTCCCTCTGCTCCTGAATAGATGCCAGTGCCATCCTGTGCTCTTGCAGCTGTTGGTGGCTTGTCTTCACCTCTGTATATTTTGGGATCTAAGGACATCCTGTAACCTACATTTGTTGTAATGTTCATAGGTTATTGATTTGCTATCCAGTTGTGAGGAATTGATTAAAAAATGGTGCTGCTGCCATTGTCTCCTTCTTCCACATTAATTTTAAATACTTTCAGCCAATCCCATTTTCAGCCTTGCTTCTAGAGGAACATGCATGACATCTCCAGGTAATGAACCCATGTGAACTTCTACCTCCTGTGGCTCCTGCCACTGCAGAAGTGACCTATGCTCTATCACTTGGCACTTATACACCTGTCTCCTTGCCTGATGCCTCTTCTTCTTCTGTTAAGCTTTATGGATTTATAGTATGTTTTACTCCTTTTCTGTCATTTTAAATGGGTAAGAAGATACACAGTTGCTGACAATGTTTGATTAACATTCTTAATGTTCCCTAGCAGGAAACATTCACAGAAAATTCTTGTTTGCTTCTGTTCTTTGGATTTGGTCTTTTCCAGATTGGTTATTTTTTTTTTCCTTTTTAAAATTTTATGCTGTTTCTTACAATGTTCTTTTTGTTCCATTCTGACCTCTTTATCCAAGAATCCTCTATTAAGTCTCATTTAAAATTAAAACACTCTGGGTCCCTTCATCTTCTGTAATAATTCTGTACTGCAGGTCGGATCTTCACAGCCTTACTTCAGAGCGTCATGTGCACAGCTGGTTCTCTTCCCAGGTGTCTGCCTATTTCTCTGTACAGTATACATATTATAGACATTGCCACTTTAGCATCTTACATCACATCCAGGTCACTCGTTTTAAACATATGTTAAGAAACTTTTAGCCCATGCTTCAATAAAGACATATTTCCAAAAGGCTATTTTGAAGTTTACGAATGTTAATGATATAAGAAGTACTTCCTTTCACACAAGGCTAAAAGCAACTTCCTTTTACCGTCAGTCTGCACCCCACTCTTTAGGGGTAGCAGAGCTCTGTCCCAGTTGTGCGATGGTCTCTAAGGCTCCCAACTCCCCCACCTGTCCCAGAAACTTTATTTTCAATTCAAGCCTGAAAGACAGGAAAGGCAGGTGGAAAAATTTAAAGAAATGCAATGATTTCCCCTAGGATAAAAGGATTACAGAGTGTGGTTTTCCATCTACCATCCTTATATTTGACAATGTTACAGAAATCTTTTGAGTAAAGTTTTATAAATTCCAGGAGACATGCTCAATTAATATTAAAATTTCTCAAAACTGTCAAAAATAAAATGATTTCTCTAGTTAGCTCCTTATGAAAATATAAAAAGCTAAATGTAAGAAATGATTACACAGTTAATATACAAAATGTACTGTTTAAAAAAACGGCATAAATCCAAGAACAAATCTTTCAGACTGGTAACTGCCTCACGGCCAAACCGGACTTCAAATGGACAGAAGTCTCCGCAGGTGAGCGCCTCCCCGCTGCCCGTGTTTACTGGAGTACTGCTCTCTGAACATGCGCACATCCAGGTTTGTTAAATATGTCTTCTTCTGTTTCTGGAGTGAGCTGGATATTATCTTTGATCGGAGACAGGGGATCTGGTTTCTTACAGGAAGGAAGCTTTTCAGAATCTCTGCGAAATAGAATAGAATAAAATGAATTTGGTGCTTTTAGGGTAGTGATTATTAGAAAACAAGCTACCTGGGTAAAATAGAGGTATATAAAGAGGACAAGGCCCTTTATTGTATAATTTCCCTCAATTCATTATGTGCACATTCAGGTTCTCCTCTGAGGATGCCCAGTATAATTTGAGTTTTGCTTCGAAGTGTCTCTTCCTGTTTTCTAAATTACCTTTCACAGTAGGTGCCAGGTCACTATCGAATATATACTGGCTAAGGCAGAATGATGCTAATGAACAAATTTTAGTTCTTTTCTCCTTAGTGTCCTTTTCCAGTCTGGCTAAGTGAAGCATGAACAAATGTCTGAAGCCCTGTCTTTTACCCTCCCTGTGGGTTTTGTTTGTTTCTTTGTTTCGTTGGAAGTGGGTACTTGTATTCTCCACCTCCACGTACTTAGACATAAAAATGAAAAGCTAGTCTCACTTAAGAACATTCTTGATGAAGTAGTAAAAACCATTAATTTCACTAAATCTTAACTCTCTCAGTTTCTTAATATTCGGTGACAAAAAAGAACCACACACAATGCACTTCTGTTAGATACTGACTTTGGTCGCATATAGAAGCATGATTATCTAGAGTAAAAGCACATGTAACACTATGGCTATTCAACTTTAGGTGTTTGGCAAAGGGCTTCTCTAAAAAGAACAAAGAAAAACATTTTTAATCATTTCTTCAATTAAAAAAATAAATTTAATTTAATTGAAAAAACAAAAATAAATAAAATGAACAAAGAAAGCAATTAACAGTTGCCAATGATAAAATTCAAACTTTCAAGTGAAAATCAGAATTTTGGAAAACCTATCTGTCACTTGACAGCTTCCTACTGCTCAGACTTTGGTGCATTTTTTAATACTGTATAATGAAATGTGTCACTATTTGAAAGATAGGCCCATTTTCCAAATGACCAATCGCGATGTTACAAAGTCACACACGAGTAAAAGATGCAGTGTGGACCAATGACCGTCGTGTAACAGAGTGGGAAAAGTCAGTTCATAGGATTTCATATTCTACATTGCAACTAACCGTAAAAAGCTACTGCTTGTTGAATCGTAATGTGATACCAAAGAAAAAACTTTACGATTAAATAAAAAGGCTATTAAAATATACATTTTCAAACTACAAACATGTGTGGGGACAGATTTCTTTATATACTTAAACTAAAACCACATATCGTAATGGATCAAACACAGAAGCAGATATAAGAACTCAGCTCAGTTCTATTAAACCAGATAGTAAAAATTTGCAAAAAAGTAAAACCATGTCACTCTTCTTACTTTTTATGGTTGTGGAAAACAGTTATTTTTTGGTAAAAACATACTATTGATTTTAATATTTAATGGGATTATTGTTTAAAAGTAAATATTTTTAAAGTGTCCACTTTCATTTCTAAGATGGTTAAATGTTGTCAAATATAACGCACAGAACCCAAAGTATTTTGGGCCTTCAATAATTTTTAAGAGTATAAAGAGTTCCTGAAGGCAAAAAATTTGAGAACTGCTGCTATATGGTTTAATCCTATACTTTATACAACGTAAAATAAAAAAATAATTGCCCAGGGTTTATTTATTCACAAAGGGCTCTCACTCATCATTTCATCTGATTGTGACATTTCTAGAGGTCAGGTTTAATCCTATCACACTCATGTAATTTTTCTGTTTTTTACTTTTATTCTTAGCACATTTGCTTTATTAAGAACAAGAAAATAATTCGATTATAAATTGATGCTACTCTATAGCTAATTTTGTAGTCTAACGGAAGGAAGTATTGTAGTTCAAAAAATGTAGATATATAGAGGGTCAATCAATCCATTTAAAACAATGTTTGCCACAAAGATTGGAAATCTCGCAAATTCATCATCTAAACTCAGTACTTTTCCCTATTTTAGATGTGCTAATTCAGGGAAACAAATTGCTTTAAATCCAGCAGTATGAGACAGCATTACTTCCAAACCCCCGTATCTAAAACGACTTTATTCTCATTACAATCCTGAGATAAGGAAGCTGAGACACTTAAGTACGGGAAAATTAATTTGCTAAACAACAGAGACCCCGAGAGCCAGACTGAGACCCGAGCTTTTTCAGTTGGCCATCTCTTTGCTAAAGGAGGGTATAGAAACTGAAGTTAAATACACTTACGAGTCGGCAAATGGAGACAGGAGTATAGTTCTCAAAAAGAAAATAATTCATATGGAAATAGAAATAATTGGGAGAAAGATCGAAATTACAGAAACAAATAATGTATCTTACTTTAGAATAAGTAACAAGGCAACTCACTTTTTAAATCCAAAATTTTTCCAGAGCTCATTGATTTTTATTTGTAATCCTGGCTCGTTCTCAGCATTATGATGCTTTCTCTTCGGCACGCTTGCTGGCTTCTTGCTCAGTCCACTGACTCTGGCAGGTGCTAGAGGTTTGATCTTGGTTGTAGAAAGATTGTCTATAGAACTAGATTTATATAGCCCAGGTACCTGAAGGTTAAAATGCCTGTTTTAATACTATTCTGTTAAAGCAATTACTTTCAGTTAATTTCAAACTATTCTTTATACTTTGGAACAGAAAAATAACCTGTAAGCAATGTGTAAAAATGTGCTACTTATAAACATCTACTACAAAAATAACAGTTTTAACAGGTAATATATGTATGTGGCACTAAATTCAAGAGTTAGAAACCAGAGAGGAAAGTGGTTTCCTTATTCCCTCTAGGATATTGCTGTCTGAATCCATTCAGTCAGTATCCCCTCCCTGCCAGATGCCGGAAACCACGGGCAGTACTGAACCTGCACATACACACATACCGATGACGAAGTCTAATGCTTTTTCATCTGAACTAAGCACTGAACATGCCCGTGGTCCTAACTTTCGCAGTATGAGGTGTGACAGCAAAACTAGCCTTCCTTTTCCTTCTTCACATTTTCATGGATAGAAGATTTGTTCCTACTATACTTAGCAACCTCTGCATACAATTTTTTCTTTCTCATCAAGCCAAGAACTTTCACCTTTTCACTTAAAAGAAGCACTTTACAGCTTCTCTTTGGCATATCTGAATTGTAGTAGAAGAATAGTTACTCTTGTGCTCTGGGGGTCATTATGAAATAATGGTCACTTGAACACAAGCCAGACCATGACAGTGAGATGGCTACTAAGTGACTAACAGGTGGGTAGAATATATAATGTGAATATACTGGGCAAAGGGAGGATTCACGTCCCAGGCAATGGAGTGGGTGGCATGAGATTTCATCATGCTACTCAGAACACGGGACGCAATTTAAAACTTATGAATTGTTTATTTCTGTAATTTCCCATTTAATATTCTCGGACCATGGTTGACGAAGGGTAATTGAAACTGCAGAAAGTGAAACCGTGGATAAGGACGGGCTGCTGCACACACACACGCGCCTAGCATCGTAATGCACTGCTGTGTGCTTCACTTTTCTCTTAATGCATCTTAATTCTACTTAACAATGTATCTTGGAGATTTTTCCATTTCGCACATAGAACTGAATTTTGTTTTGTATAGGTTGCCTGTTCTTTCACTGTATAAATGTGCCATAATTTACTTAAACAGATTTCTATTGACATTTAGGTTATTTCTACTGAAGGGTTGATTCTTGTATGAAACAGTGGGCCATTAAAGTGGTTTTTTTAGAACAGTAACAATGAAGTATATTAAAACAAGGCTTTAAAATTGACGAATCTGGCAGATGGTACATAAAAAATGAAGAGGTTCACACATGCAAGATGAAATCCTGAATTAGGGTGTTGGTGACAGGAAAAAGGGAGAGAGCAAAAAACAAGACAAAGAAAGAAACACTGGAATTGTATAGGTACAGATGCTTGGTTGTTTCACTTTACTCCCTTCAGAAAGAGGACTGAGATGGTTTGCAGTTATAAAGAATAAGGACAATCTTAAGATTCTGAAACTAAATGAGAAAGAGAATAATATAATTTTATGTAACATAAAAATGTTCTGAGACAAACTGGTTAGAGGTAAAAAAGAGGATAAATATTGGGGAGCAAAGGAGAAGGTTCATCTGGAGAGTTTTCATTAAAACAGAAGTGACAGTTAAAACCCTGTCAAATTCTGACAGCAAGAATAATACTAAAAAGGTGATGCTTCAGCTGTCTAGACATAACTTTTTGGGAAAGTACTTTCTATATCTCTGGTCCTATCCATCACTAGAAATAATTTTGATATCTTTCCAGACTTTTTACTACAATTATTCAAGCACAGACCTATATGCATGAGCATTTTTAAGTATTAAGGCAAACAAAAACACCATGTTATATATACATAACATGTTATATATAAACATGTTTAATAACATGTTTTCCTTTTCATTTAAAAATAATATGGACATTTTTCCAAGACAGGATACGTTTGAAAAGCTTTTCTAACTCAAAGATTTAAAAACAATCTATGTTTACTATTTTACATTTGTATCTTTAATATATTTGGGATTTATATTTATATAATATGAGATGGGGATCTTGATCTTCTTTGAAATGGATATGCAGACTATTTAAATTTTTAAAAAGTTTTTATGCTTTTAAAAAAACATAAGAAAAATAATTTATGTTCACTATAGAAAAACATGAGAAAACAAAGAAAAAAAAATTCACCTTTATTCCTACCAACTAAGATCCAAAAACAAAAATGTATTTAAGAATTCACTTTTATTTTTATTACAATTATTTCCAATTTTTCACTATTGTAACCAATGCAGGAGTAAATGTTCTTGTACTTAAAACTCTCATTGTTTCCTTAGGCTCAAGTTCTAGAATGCACTTACTGGATTGAATTATTTGAACTCTTTCAAATTGCTTTTCAGAATAGTAGAGCAATTCGCATGCTCTACCATTATGTGATTATTCATCTCACTGTACTTTTATAAAAATGAGTACAATCAAAAACATATTTTAGAAATCTGAGATAATAAATTAACTTTTACTATTTCAATTTGCATTATTTGATTACTAATGATGTTGAACACAGTTTTCTACATTAATCAAACATTTGCACTTTTTCTTTTGTGATCTCTGTTCATACCCCTTGCCCATTAAGTTAGGAAATAGTGTTTTCATATTGATGGGCGAGAACACTTATTATATAAAATATACTTTAACTTATGAACTTTCACTATGCAGTCACATGACTATTTATAAATTTTGATGTAAAAGAAAAAGGCTAGAAGGCCTTTTGGGGACATACATTAAAGCTTTAAATCATACATTCCTTCGGACTGGTAATCCCACCCCATGAAATTCATCCCTGTGAAATAATCAAGAATATGTACTCAAATATTTACCCACAAGATACTGGCTGCAGTACTGTTTGCTAAAGCAAAAAATTTTTAGGGTAAAAGACGAACATAAGAGGATTAGCTAAACCCATGCGATGGCATATTATAGTCATGTGTCATATAACTACATTTTGGTCACCAATAGATTGTATATATGACAGTGTTCCCTAAGATTATAATGAAGCTAAAATTCCTATTGCATAGTGACATCATAGGTGTCATAACATCATAGCACAAGGCATTACTCATGTGCTTGTGATGATGCTGGTGTGAACAAACCTACTACGCTGGCAGTCAAGTAAAGTATAGCATATACAATATGTACAGTACATAACACTTGATGATGATAATAAATGCTTATGTTACTAGTTTATATATTCATTGTACTATAATTTTTGTTATTTTACAGTGTCCTCTTTCTTATTAAAAAAATTGCTGTAAACTGTATGCTGTGTCACGCTGGCAGCAGCCTCATATATCTGTTTACTGCGTCTCTTGATCGCATTTCTCTTGTGCTTGATTTAATCTCGTGTTTTGTGCAGTAATGTGCTGTACAGGTTTGTAGCCTACAAGCAATAGGCCAGACCACGTAGCCTAGGTGTGCAATAGGCTGTACCACCTAGATCTGTGTGAGTGCCTCTATGTTTGCACGACGACAAAACTACCTGATGACGCATGTCACACTACGCATCCCCACTGTGAAGCAGCACATGTCTGTATAGTCATTATAAGTAATACTAAATAAATAGAAGGGAAAAGATCTTTATACTGAAAGAGAAAACAGCAGGTTTCACAACTTAAACACCTACAATCACACACAAACATGATCCTAGAAGGATTGAAAGTAGACATTTTTGTGTAAATAAAAATATAAGCATTTTAATTTTTAATTTTGCTTATACTTGTCATTTTCTAGTAATAAGAATGAATGGCTTCTGAAATGAAAAAAAAAATAAATGTTTTACCTTGTTCCTTAGGAGTGTGTCTTTTTTCAAAGAATGAGATAAATGTAGCTTGGATTTCTGATTACCTTGATTATCAAGTGACTTAAAATTATAATCAGATTCCTAGATCCACCAGATCAAAAAATAAAATAAAATTAGATTTTATACGATGAAATTTTAATGACAATTAACAAGTATTCGACAAAATGTAAAACGAGTAAAATGAGAAGATCAATGTAAAAAAATGTTAATTTCTCAGAAAAGAAAGTATACAAAGCTTGGAATAGAATAAAAGAAAATAAATCTCATGTAAAAAGAATGAGGTTTGCCAGTTTCACTTCAAGTTAAACTGAAGAAACTAGCAAGATTTTTCAGCTGGAGCATTCTATAAGTATACATTAAAATGGAAGGCTTTTCTGAATAGTTTCAGGAGCTGCCAAAAGGCTAACTCAGAGAAGACAAGTCTGCTATAATATCACTGCAAGCGTGGCTAAGTTTTTATAAATTACTAGCTACAAAAAGTTGAGCCGGTATAGTCCTACATCTCTTAATCGTGTAATGGTGTTCAACATTAAAGAGAAAAAAGGAGACTACTTTCAAGAAGTAGAGCAGTACTGTATCGGATGCAGTTACCTTCAGCTATGACTTTAAGACCTTCCCTCTACACCCCAATCCATCATGTAAGGCTTGTCTACAGAGGGAATAATCTGGATTCTCACCACGGTTAAATAAAAAGGACAATGAATGGACATTTAGAAGATTTTACATTTCTGTATTTTTCAGTATATATTTTTAATATTTATCTTGGGATTCTACACAGTATTATATATTAAAAAAAAAATACTCGATTAACTTGGATTGTGACTTATAGAAACTCTAATATTCTTTACTTATAGCTAACAATAGTGATGACCCTGGGCTAAACCATTTCTTAAAGACCATGAATAAGATCCTAAAATTAATTCACCTCAGAGGGTCAATGAACTCAAAACCCACAGAACATATGGTTTATGCGTTTCACAGTGAACCACCAATGGAACTGTCCAATAAAGAAAAATTTTCTTCAGAACCATACAGTAAAAACTGATATTCAAAATGAAGCCCCAATGCACTGTGGCTTCTGAAACATTTTCTGAATCAAAGACAGATTATATAGTTTTTATGTTAACTGTTAGTGTCACAGTTCTTTGAGAATAATTTATTTATCCTAACAGGAATTTACTACATCTGGAGGCAAGAGATGACTTATTGAATGCTTTTTAGTTTGCTCTTTTTGGTGAGGGGAGAGGATTCATGTTTCTATAACTGATTAGTACAAAAAATGGTTAGCCCGGAAGAGAGAAGTGTGGAATTCTGTCAGCATGGCTAGTCCACGGCCTGTGCGCTGGTAAGGCTTCTCAGTAAAACACGGCTAAATGCTGAAAAAGTTAAACAGGAAGATATCTGCTGGAAAAAGGAAAAAGAACGTCCCAAAGGAGCTCAGCAGACTTAAAAGTATCCTCACAAATAGATGATGATGTTTTTATGAAAGATGTTCAAGAAACAGCAACTGTGGTGACACCCAAATGGTGCTGAGAAGATGCAACAGGAAGTGAAAGATAAGAAAGACGACACTGAAATGGAGGCAGGCGCACATGGGAAGAAGCAGAGAGAGCCCTGCAGACCAGTGCGCACGAACCGAAGGAGCCCTGCAGACCAGTGCGCACGAACCGAAGGAGCCCTGCAGACCAGTGCGCACGAACCGACGGCAGAGAGTGAAAGCAAAAAGCAAAGCCAAGCCTCAAAGGGCACCACGGACGCGTACTCTACGACTTAAAACACCTCAGGGAACAGACGTTGGATTTGAATGTATTAACTGATCTCAGCTTTATCCAAGTGAAAGCGATGTGTTTACATGCATCTGACTTGGCTTCTCAGTTCGAGTGCAACTCATTTCCTTTGAGAACTTGAATAAAATATCTTCCTTTTGATAAATATAAGTTATACTGATTTATTAGATGCTGCCCAATATTCAAGATTATCAGACATCAAAATTCTGTAAAATATCACCGAGTTGTTCTTACAACTTGGTAACTGTAGTTGGTAGATATAAAATGATGTTACATTGGTAAATCTGAGAGAACTCAGATTTTAAAAAAGCTACTATGCCACTATGTCATCAAAAGATATAATGTCACTGGGTCTTATGAACAGTACTTATTTGGGAGTTTAAGTCAGAATAAAAATATTTTATAAATAAAAAAGGATTAGGATGCTTTTATTAATTTAAAACAAAATAACATAGAATTACTTGTATTACTATTTTATTTTGTTATAAAGGGAAAGTTTAGCAATAAAAGTAAATGAAAATACATTTCTGAAGCACTAAAATGTAAGATGGACGACACTTACATTAACGGCCATTTCCTTACAAGGTTGCAAATGCTATCTCAATGCAAGAGAATACTAAAGATTTAAATATGAAATTTATAATAACTTTTCATTTCACAGCTTATTCTGCTTAGGTCTTACCTGTTCCACAACTTGAGATACCTATCAATGGAACATGTAGTGATTCAAGAAATAAAGTTAGGTTAAATGTACAAGACAAAAGATACAGAGAAGTACTTCAGATGAATAAAATGTGAACTTTCTAAGATCTAGAATGAAACATTAAGACAGCCAATTATTTACATAAAGTAAGCAAATTTTTCTCAATTATATGATAAACATCTTATTTTCCTTTACAATGATAAACATCTTATTTTCCTTTATACGTGAATTTGAAAACAAAGGCTTCATAGTATGACTTACCTCTGAATCAGAATCCTTATTACAAGGCTGAGAAAGTTTTGATGCATTTAAGTTGCATGGTGATAATTCTATGTTTTCCTGAGACTGTGAAGACAAATCTACTTTGTGTAAGGGATGAGCTTCATCACCTGACCCATCACTCTTCACCTGAGATACATCAGATACCTCCTGAGAGCTGGGGGAGTCACCCTTCCTATGGAACTGCTGCAATGCAGTGCTTGGGGAGAGGCTCGGAGTTCTTGAAAATTCTCCAAGACTTCCAGGCCAACTGAAACAACTTCTTAGGGTTCCCAAAGTGGGTGGTGAAATGGTCCTCGTGAATTTGCTAGATTTGCTGGTCGTAAAAGCCTGAGAGTTGTCATCGGCAACCACAGGTACAGTCTCTGGAATCTGATCACTTGAATTATGTGCTACATTCTCATCAATCAGCTTCTTGCCATCTAGACAATCTGCTACATTCTCATCAATCAGCTTCTTGCCATCTAGACAATCTGCTTCATTTGGAGTGGACTCCTTATCTGTGACAGCAGTTTCATCTAAAGGCTGGTTTTCTGCTTTCTTTGATACACAGTGCATAGAATCCAGAGAATTGCAAAAAAACCTAACAGAAAAAACAAACAAACAAAGAATGCTCAAGTATTTTAGAGTTTTCTCACAAGGTGGTAAGATTCAGAATATGGCCCAGTTTCTTTAAAAGGTCTCATAAATACATAATTTCATAAAGGAAAGGTAGATCTTGAAAGTTCAATTTTGATTATGCCAACATTCACAAATTTAGAAATTTACACGATGAAATTTTAGGGTTTTCTAAAAGCAGTCATCTAACTATACATGTATTTGGTGCTTGTGCATTTTGTCTATACTTAATTATCATACAGTCTTCCTCCTAAGCTTTTTAACTCCCAAACAGACTCTAAGTTCCTTGAGGACAGGTACTGTCCCACACCTTTGTATCCTCCAAAGTACCTAAAATAATGGCTAACACATGGCTGATAACCAAATAAATACATGAAAAGATATAGAAATAAGTGACAGAAAGGGTTGTCTTATATTTTGTAGAAAGCAAAATGAAAAAAAAAAAAAGCCATTTACCCCTCATCCTAGCTTAATTCCTAGTAGCAAACCATCTGGGAACTTGTAGTAGTATTCTAACAGTTTTTTATATATCTTATAAACGTCCACACTATTTTAAATACTGAGATTAAGACTTTCAAATAAAGCGTTAAATTCTATATTACTAAAGAGGTATTATTTAACCAGCATAGCAGCTTTTGAAAATCACTTAAAATATTCTAATATGAAGAAAAAAAGATCAGTATCATTATTGGAGAAGATGTATTCAAGAAGTTTTTAGGTTTAAAAAGGAAATTCTAGAGTACATGATCAGATAAATATGAAACCTAAAGAGAATTTACCTCCTCAATAAGCATTATTGAATTCAAGCCCAAGATTTACTAAAGTTCAAGTCCAGAACATCTACTAAATATGCTGGAGAGTAAAAATCCTCTCTCTCGATCCTTTCATCAAATTCCTGGCAGAGGTGTGTGGGTTCAGGGTCAGGAGGAAGAGGCACATGGAAGGAAAGTCTTAGGAGGTTTTTTCACGGAGCAGACAACATCAGCTCCTATTTTAAATCACGATTCATTTTTAAGTGAACGATAGTCCTTGTGATATCCAAATATTCCTCCATGTATTATTTCAAGGGTAAAGAGAAGTGACAGAGCCCAAGATTATAAAATTAATAAGCTAGAGAACAGAATTAAAACCCAGAACCCCTCCCAGTTCATGGCTGCTTCTTCCCAATTAGCCTATAGTATTACTTCACTGATATTGATATTTCTAGATGTCAAAAGATAAAATGGCATGTTTCTAAAGTATCTCTATAATGAAGATAAAGAAGATTTAAAACAGATGTCCAAAAGCAGACAGGCTGGAGATGAACCTGTGCATATTTAATACCTCCTGTTGCGTCATAAAGAACGGGACGGCAAGGAACTCTGCATATACATTCATGCCGGGCACTGTGCCGGGTGCTTGATGTACGTAACTTCTACTAGTCTAGGAACAGCCTTATGTATCTGATCACCCATAGTTTACAAAGAAACAGGCTCAAGAAGTTAAACGGTAGGTGAACGATCACGCAGCTAATTAGATGACAGTGAGAACTCAAGTCCAGGCTTACCAAGCGGGCTGCTCCTTCCTCTCCAGCACGTCAGCAGTGACTGGGGATGCTCCTGTCACCAACACTAACCATACAGCCCTGGGAGAGTTTCTTAATCTCTCTGAGCCTCGATTTCTCTCCCCCAAATAAGAACACCAACCCTGAATATCTCCTAATGTTGTTGTAAGGAATAAGAGAATATATAAAAGAATTTTGAAAATCGGCTAAGAAAACTAATTTAATATTATCTAGTTATTAATAGATGTTGCTATATAATCCAGATCAGAAAAGTTACTCCCATTATTTCACAGGAAACAGCGGATAGAGAAAAAGATGATTTCTCCAAGCATTTAATGCACTCTCTGAACAACGTATCAGTGAAACACCTAACTGAACTATATGAAGAGACTGTACAGCTTCGCATGGAGATTCCATTAAGCTTCTACAATGGCTAAAAGACAAGTCCTGCAGAGACACACAAACATGATTCTCGTCTGTTGTCTCCAAAGAGTTAAACGCTCAGAGGCAGAAAAGGGAAATTCTAGTTTCACCCAAATGTAAAATTAAATATAAGTTCCAAAAATTTCTCCGAGTGAAGTCAATTTTCTAAAACTTATCAGCATATATCATCCAGAACCATCTTTTCCATCTTCTGCAGTCTACTTTTCATCATTCCACTACTTAATAAGCACCTTTAATGAGGGAGACTAGCAAAGGAAGCACCAAAACGATCATTTAATTGTACTGTGAATGCCTCCTTGAGAAGACTTGATGGGAGAAAGGTGTTAATATCACCCACAGCAAGGTCTAGGGATCACCGGAGGTTCATTCTGTCATTGCCAACCACTACCATCATCGTTAGACAGAAGTGGATGCAGCCTGGTTTGCTAAAGTCGAAACATAAAAAAATATTCATCTTAAATCTTTTGGCAGAATACAGGGCTGATAAATTTTCTCCTTTTTAGTAGTGTATCATGCCGAAATAACTTCTGACACTTGAATTTCCTGTTTCTAGGTCATGGTAGCACCATCCAGACAATAAAACAAGAGCCTTTCGTTGATGTTTGTCAACAGGCACGGTTTCAGGCAGTTTATTTATAGTAATAATTTAATCCCCTCAAAGACCCTGAGGTTGTTTAAGTTGTTAGCCCATTTTTTAAAAAGAGAAAACCAAAGCACCCAGAAGTTACTTGCCCAAATCGAACATCTCATGAGTAAACAGGAGAGGATTCAGATTCAGGTGCTCTAACTCCAGGGTCCAAATTCCTAAACCTGAGGTTATACTGGCTCTTCAAACTCATCACCACCCGCAGGGACTATGGCAAGGGCCTAACCCATCTTCCTGCTCCACTCTGGCCCTGTAAACCCATTCTTCAGTGTGCTCAGAGTGGTCTATTTAAACCAAGAATCGAGTCATATCCCTCCTGTGATTAAAACCCTTTAAATATTTCTGGAACATCACCTCTAAAAGCTAACAGTTTCTCAGCTTGCTTTACCAGCCTTCCACGAACTGGCCTGCTTATTTCTGCTCCCTCATCGACCTTTTCCAGATGCCTTTTAGCAGCAGTGACAATGGCTGCGATCACGGCAAGCGCGGCTCCATGCCCCATATGCTGTCGCTTGGCGCCACCCTCTGCCCCACTGTTCGACTGTGGGAAGGCACAAGACGCATTCTTGGTCCGTTTCACTCCACGAGTCATCTGAGCCGAAGTAACGGCACCTACACTCGGCCGTTCCCTCTCACCTCTCCAACCACTGACTCAGCATTAGACGCCCCTTTAAGGCCCTCAAAACACCTCATGCAGGCTTTTATCATTGTGCTTAACACACTGCATGAAAAGTTTTTGTTTATGGGCCTGTTTTTCCAATTACACTACAAGCTTCTCAAGAATAAAAACCACGCCTCTCATTTTTGTAACCCAACACCTAGTATTGCATCAAGTTCTCAATATTAGAACTCCTACAGTCATCTGTATTTAAATACATTTCTGGCAATACTTTGCCAAATGGTATTCAGCTCTTAAAAAGCTGAAAAAAGTGGAAACAAAAAAGTCCTCCCAAAAATGACAGAATTTTTCTAATTCAAAATGTAATACAGTCTACAATTCTTATTTTGGTTCTACAGAGATTATAAAAGTGACAGAAGCTCGAGGGAAAAGCTGTGCATTTAGGTCTGAACTAAGGCAATGCATGATAAAACCTGTAATTGGATCAAGCCAGGCCCTACACCTGCCTCCACTAGATTAATTGTTTAGTTAAGTCAATTAAAATACATGTCCATAGCGTATATAACACAACAGACAAACAACATTCTATCAGTATAACGTACCTGCTTCTGGTCCCTGGCACCACAACTGCTCCACTTTCTTCATTTTTTCTCTGTAAAAATGCTGCAAATTTATTTCTTGTTGTAGGCGGTGTGCTTAAGCTTTTTTTAATAGTAATTCCATCTACCGGGTCAGGAATAAATATTTTGGAAGAGTTCAGTGATTCGGTACCTTCACAACCATTTTTCTTGGTCTTCTTTGTAAATGAAAGAGAATATTGACTCAACAGATCATCTTCTGACAGTTCTTCTAAAAACAAAATTATTAATAAACCTTTGTTTCTGTACAGTTCATGTTCCATTGTTCTAAGGATGAAGTCTTGTTTTTTTTTAACTATGCATCAGAAAAGAAAATCCAAGGATAACTTAAAAAAGAAATTTCCTTAACTGTACTTTACAATTTCACAAATTAGCTAAGATTTACTGTCAATCATTTGTATGATTTTATGTAAAATTCCCAAACCAAAATTTCAGGAAACTATCAACTTTGTAAGGCTATATACTCTTTACGCCAAGGGACTGTAAAATAAACAAACAAACAAAAAACAATTTTAAGGCAATGAACATGTACATGTATAATTTAATGTTTGATTTAAAAAATGTTCCAGTAGAACCAGTAGCTATTTATACACACCATCTATGTGGTGTGCATATGAGGTATATGTGACTGTCATGTAGTCCGAAGTAATCTGTGCTGTAGCTCTGACTCTTACTACCTACTTGTGGGGCCCTAGAAGACTGCTGTGCAGCAACTATATTCTATGGTATTAGAATAAATAAGATGAAATAATACAAAAGGCTACAGCCAGAGATGGCAAGGACATAGAGCACTAAAGAGTTTGAAATTAGTTCAACAGCTTCCACTCACATAGCAGTAAATGCTTACTACTCTAAGAAGTCAGTAAAAACGGCTGGGGGCACCAAAATACTAGAGACAGGAAGATGGTTCCTCAAATTTAAAAATGTATAGATTTTAAAAAAGGGATATATAGATCAGCAAACTTGATTTTGACTGATGGCAAAAGCCCACACCTGTTTATTATGCAGGGAACTGTGAGCCCTCACAGAAAAGGAAAAAACAAATGTAGGAGCCACAGCAAGGCTTCTCCGAGGAAAAGCCATGCCACACTAACCTCACTGTCTTTTCGTGATCAGCTTTAGACTAGCTATTCAGGGGATGCTGTAGATGTAGTAAACCTGGAACTGAGCGAGACATTTCAGTGTCTCTCATTTTACCCCAGTGGACAATATAGCGCAAAATCTACTGTACATTAGTTACGTGGCTCTGCAGCACGTTGAACAGCCCTGAAAGACTATGAAAGGAAGACGGTCTCTACACAGTGCTTTAGGTTCCAAACTCACTCTGATTCAGTTAAACAGTACATTAAACAAACACATTTTAACCAAAACTTCATACTTTTCAAATTTCCAGCTGACATAGATAATACCTATATATTAGAAGATAATACAAGGATTCAAAAAAGAAAAAAAAATATTAGTGGGCAGAACAGTGGATTAAAATTAATTCAGATGACCTCAATAGAAATAATTTAACCCACATTTAAAAGTATAATTGTAGCTGTAATGGCACGTGGTGGATTTTGACTCAGAAAATGCCAGCGAAATGACGAGAATGTTAACAAAAGCTAACACTATCTTAGTTTGCAATAATAAAATTGCAGCCTTTGGATGACGAACTGAAATCGTGCCACCATTCTAAAAATGCACTGTGTAAGTGGAACACATCTCAACTCATTCACTGTAATAGTTACACAATTATTAAAAACCTGTATTTGTAGCCAAAGCAAAACCTGGAATAGATAAGAACTTTTAGCTTGGAAATGAAATTTTAGGAAGGTCACAATCACAATGGCTGTCTCTAAACATGGGAAGGGCTATCATGTAAAAGTGGGATTTAACTTTATCTAGTTTGATTTTTGTGTTCAACCAGAGGATAAAATCCATTGGTAAGTTGAAGTTTAATAAGGCAGACTTAGTCTGGAATAAAGAATTTACTAATAATGAACCCTCTGCCTAAAAAGAACAGTCTATCTTCCTGGTAGCAGGAGGGAAGGAAGGAACTAACGTGTGCAGTGCACTTGCTATGTGCTGGGTGCTTTTATTTATTATCTTATACAACATATACAAGAATTTGTGAAACAGGCAATATCGCTCCCATTTCAGAAGAGAAAACAAAGGTTCAGAGATATCATAAAAAATTTTTAGGTTCATAAGAATCAGGACATTTTGGCCAAACATGTATAATCTATATCTAAACTTAAAAAAAATAAAAGCATGAACTAAAAGTTTGCAAAGGATTTTGTTTTGTGTTGTTAGTCTTTTGTTCATTCATGCAAATGTCTGAGGTAAAAAGAAGAGAGAGCAGATTTCAATTGTTCTATTTCTAAACATATTCTATTATGAAAAAACTAAATCAAATCAAAACTCTTCCCAACACTTAGTGTTCCATTCTCATCACTTCTGTTCATTATATTGGAGGTTCCAGCAGGCAAGAAAAATAAATAAAAGGCATGTAGGCTGAAAAAGGAGAGGGAAGAATATCTTTACTTGCAAGTGATATGATCGTTTATATGGAAAATCCTGTGGGGTCTAAAAATGAGATACCAAAATTAACCCATAAATTTAGCAAGGTTGCAGAATACAAGGTTAATATACAAAAATCAATTCTATTTCTATATATTAGCAATGACCAACTAGAAATCGAAATAAAACTATCATTTATGATAGCATCAAAAATCTGAAACATAGGGATAAATCTGAGATGTGTAAGCCCCGTGCAGTGAAAACTACAAAGCACTGCTGAAGACTTAAGTGGACCAGAAAACTCAATATTGTTCAGATATCAGTTCTTCCTGAATTGATCTATATATATATTCAACTAAATCCCAATCAAAATCACAGCAGGCTGTTTTTTAAAAAAAATATAAACAGACAGTTGATTCTAAGATTTATATGAAATGTAAAGAACACAGAATAACCAAAACAACTTTTCAAAAGAACTTAGGGAACTTATATTACTTGCTTTCAAGATTGACTATAAAGCTACAGTAATCAAAACAGTATGTCGTAAAGTATGGCATAAAGATAGGAAAAGAGACCAATGGTACAGAACGACAGACTTCAGAAACAGACCCACACATATAGGGTCGATCGTCAAATGTGCTATGGCAATTCCATAAAGAAAGGGTAACCTTTTAAATAAATGGTGCTGGGACAACAGGATTGCCATTCACACAAAAAAATGACCCTTGATCCTTACCTCATACCATATAAAAAATTAACTGAAAATGGATCAAAGGCCTAAATATAAGTAAGAGTCAAAGCTATAAAACTTCTAGAAGAAAATAAGAGAAAGTCTTAGTGACCTTCGTTTAGCAAAGATTTCTTAAATGTGACCAGTTCTCACTAGTATTTCACAAAAATGAAGTACGTACCACTTCTTGGTCTCTTCACAATGGCTGACTTCCTTGGAAGATTTAACCCTTTAGTGCTAATCACCTGCTCGATGCCCACGGTACTTGGATTTTCCTTCAATCTTGTAGCATTTGGAACAATACCTAGCTCAGGTCTAGGACAGTAATTCCTATGCCAAATGCTATTAACACGAGATGACTTCTGACATGCTTTGTCATTCCAACTATGACTTCTTGATTGGGCAGGCTAAAATAGTAAAAGGAAAAGGTTACTTGAAGAAAAATAATTTATTTCCTTCTGTATCAACATATAAGCAAATAATTAAAAATTACGCGTAAAAAGAACAACTTATTGATAAAATACCGGTCCTCTAATAACAGTTTCTATTTTTCTGGTCCTATACTTCTCCGTTAAATGTATCTTGTATTCCTAGATTTGTTTCTCTTCTAACAAAGGTCAAGTGACCTTGTTAGCTCATTTCTAAGAAATAAAAAATAAACCTTCCTAAGATGAATGATGCAAGAAATGAGACTGCAATGAAGAAATATGGATAGAAAAAAAAGCACTTTTAAAATCTGAGCATTATTTCAACACATAGTATTTAATAATCATCTGGCAATGTGCTCTAAATAATCATTTACATACCTTTGACAAAGCACCTGAAAGTTAAAATCACAAAATTATGTATTTAAAGTAGTCAACTACCTCACCTCTAGACATTGACTGAGTTCCAATCAAAACAATCTAACTTACAAAATCCTAGATTCTATGAGACCTAAACTTGGTATCATCTTTAGTGGACAATAGGGAGAAACAAAAGCTACTACTGAGTCTTACATAAAACTTTCTCGGAGAAAGGGCTTATTGCCAGCTAGTACTGGTATATTTGCCACATTTATTTGTTGAATGAATGTCATTTATATCAGGAGTACCCAACCCCCAGGTACCCAGTCCATGGCCTGTTAGGAACCAGGCTGCACAGGAGGTAAGCAGCGAGGGAGCGAGTGAAGCTTCATCTGTATTTGCAGCTGCTCCCCAGCACCAGCATCACCGCCTCAGCTCCACCTCAGATCACCAGGCATTAGATTCTCATGGGAGCACCGGTCCCTGGTGCCAAAAAGGTTGGGGACGGCTGAGTTACATTCTTTCATTCTCATAACTTGAAAAATAATCTGGCTTGCTTTCATTGCTAAGTCCTTTTGCTACTTTTAGTTGTCTTCTGGTTGATACTTTTTTCTTTTTCATAGCTTCCAGTCCATTCCAGGCCTTTTTACCCTTGCTCACTAATTCAGTCCTTTCCTAAGCATTTATTAAGCACTATAGTAGGTTAGCTAGTGTTCTGAAGTACAAAAACAAAATAATCCTTGCCTGTAAGGACTTAGCAATAAAAGGTCATAGAACCCTGCTTTAGGAAGACTGCATTCTTTTGGGAATAATAATAAACTAGAGACATAAATTATATGGTAGTAAGTGCTAAAAAGAAAAAAGAAATGTTACTGAGAAAAGCTGATAAAGAATGAAGAATGTCTTTGACTGTGGCTAGATTTAAGGTTATAGGAAGTCATTTATGTAGAGACTCAAGAGACATTAGAATTATAGAGCTGGTACAGAGATTAGAGGCTGTATGAGAATAAATATAAACAGAAAAGAACAGTCAGAATGAAAATATGAACAGAAAAGAGAATGGAGAGAAAGCACCGTAAGGGATGTATACAACTGGGAAAAAGCAGAAGAGAAAAGGAGAGGGCTCAGACACAAAAGGGGTGCTCGTTGCTAAGCTGTGAATGAGTGAAAAACCAGCCTGTGCTCCCACAGGCAGTGTTTCTAGGTTTGAGTCTTCGACAACACCAAAAGCCAGAGGCTGAACAGGGTAAGATGAGAAAAAAGGCATCAAAGGAAATGTTCAATTCTCAAGGTCTGATAATACACAATATGGTTATCTTTTAATTTAAGAAACTTAACCAATATACCTATGTTATAAAAGACATAATTTCTCCAGCATCAAGTTGTTTACAATTAAAAATCTGTATAATGCCTAGATATAGAAATGCTTAAAAGATGTTTATTAAACAAAGATTTGCCTTTGGTCATAATTCCTGAGACATAACCAAAATGTGCTCTTTTAGAAAGAAATCAATAAAACGTTACCGCAGCAGTGTCTGGATTATAGTCATCTATCTGTTCAAAAGTATTTATATCTTTATTTCCAAGTGCTATTTGAAGAGCTATAGAATCATCAACATATCTACGTTGGTAAGATTAAGGAAAAAGGCTTTTATTAACAAATGATACTATATTAAGACAGAAGAGTGTATCCTATTGCCCCCCAAAATTTTCAGGTTTAGGACTTCAATGGACCCTGCTTACTTCTACATTCAGCATTACTGAAACCATAAGCATATTTACTCATCTTTGTCACTGCAAGAGTTGGCTGTTTACTGAAGTAAATACCCAAGTCATCATTTACTCCCTTTTAAGGAAGATGGAGAGGAAATCCTGGCCACCAGCTGAGTGACTCTGGGCCATGCATCGCCCTGAGTGTCACGAGTGGCGGTGGTGGTGGCTGTAGGAAGAGCATCCTAAGCTGGAGCACTGTGCCCAGGATGCTTCTCTTAATAAATCGAGCTTGCTTGCCGTGAGTGTCTCTCAAGTTCCACCTCTGGAATACATACCTTAAGGGACTGACGCTGGACGTGTTTCTGTCAAGTCAATCTAAGTAATTAGCAAGTTATAACGAATGAGCCTCAGATTTATAAACAAAAAAAGGTGCTCTAAATTTTCACTAGCATGGTAATTAAAAATAACAAAACACAGATTTCATTATAAAGAAAGCAAAGAACAATTTGCAAGCTTTTTACAGAATGTCTCACTAAAAAAAGCAACATAAATATATGGAAGAAGTGCGAAATTCTACCATTCTGGTTCAGAAAGGATACCGCCCAGCATAGCTTAGTGTTTCAGGATCAATATCGGCTTCATAGGCATTCAGAGGGATGAGTTTCCTTCTGATGGGATCAAAAACTAGCTGATAAAGGAAGGTATTGTTGGCCTGAATAAATCCCTTGATGTAATCTTCTGGTACTGTTATATTCATCCTGAGATAATGTCCGATTTTCTTGATAACCTAATGATGGACGTAAAAATATTTACAAGTTATCTATAAATAAAGAATAGGGAGTATATTAACCCCAGCATCAGTCAGTTTACATTGGAGGTGGAGGAGGATGGAGAAAAACAAAAAAAGCAATTACTTTTATCTACATGAAAAACCTACACCAGCAAGCAAACGCAGCCATGTCATATCACTTAAAATTCTAAGTCTCTGTAACAGTATTTTCTTTGGTTTTTCTATTACTAATCCAAAGAATGAAAAATTCAGTTACACATCAAGTTGATATTCCTTGGTGTAACTTTAAGATATATTCTTTACCCTCAAAGTTCCTTTCGTTCAGAAAGCAAAAAACGAACAACATACAAAACATGAGAATTAAAAAAACCCAAGTATTCTTATATCGTATTTTTAAAAAACAAGACATTCTAACTCCTGTTAGTCATGGAAGATTAGAGCTGGAAATGGTTTTAAATATTTTATACCAAACTCACAGACGAAGAAGGGAGACCCAGAGAACTGGTGATCCTGGAGTCACGGGCTAGTTAGGACACGCTGCTCCGCTGCCGCCATGTCCCCCTCCAGAGAGCCTCCCTCCACGCTTAATCCTGAGGACTCACACTCTGCGCTCTCGGAAACAGAAAATGGGAACCCTGCTCTACAAACTCAGAGGGCTTCGGAGAACCACCCGAAGGGGAATGTAAGCTCCTTTAATGGATGCTGATTTTTTTAAGGTAAAGACTTCAGAGAAATTATAGAGCAGTGACATAAGGTATCTCTGAATTTTCCAGAGGATCCAAGACACACGATATTGCATTAGATTGCATGAGGAAGTAGATATGAGAATCCAGCTGTCCTCTATGAAGCCACATTAAAGAGATTCACATAAAAATATGCTATTTATGTTAACATGCAATGTACTTATTAATTTTAGATGAATTAAGAAATATTTTAATTTTTGTTTTAATTTCTATAATTCATATAAACAGGACAGAAATCAAAAGATGGTACACTGTAATCCATTTCCCATTTAGAAAAAGAAGTGCAGCTCGCTGCCGGCATCAATTTAATTTTAAATAAACAGGCTCTTTGAGGCTGAAACAAATCTGACTGGTTTTCAATGTGAAAATAAAATATAAAAACTGTTCTTGGAGTTATTTCTAAACAGAACTTGTCTCTAATCCTAATGTCACAGAAA